ATCTGTGGGCTATCCTTGCGAGGGAATTCTTCGCAGAAGTCCCTCGAAGTATTCTTCCCACCTCTTCCTGACTTCGGCTGGTTTCCTGAGAATGGCCCCGTTGCTGCTCTTCACAGTCTTTACGACCCTGATGTCCTGAGCAGCGCGATGCCGAGCTTTAGCCAGGCGGAAGACGAACTTGTCCCCTTCTCGGCCTTCCAGCTTGTCGTACAGGGCGTCCATTTCCGTATTCTTGGCCTTAGCTGCATTGGTGAGTCGCTTGCAGCTCTTGTAGGCAGCGAAGTCTTCTGGCTCCTTGTCTTTTGCCAGCGTTTATATGCTTCCTTCTTCTGCTTGACGATCCTCTGGACTTCCTCGTTCCAGAACCAGGCTGCCTTGTCTCCTCGGATACCACCTCGAACTCCCAGGACTTCTTTGCGCACTGTAAGGATGACCTCTGCTGCGTGGGTCCAGTTGTCCTGGATTGGCCCGTGCGGAGCCGATGGCTTCGGTTTTATGCCTGCGGGCTAGATCATCTCGCCACCCATTGTGTCTAGCGGTAGCCGCAACAGAGCCAAGGTCCCAAGGTGAGTTGTTGGTGACCTGCGATCCTTAGACGCACTGTTTATGATGGACATTTTTGAGCTTTAGATGCTGTTGAAGATGGGTTCACACTAATTTTTAGCTTCCAGGCTCTAGCGAAGGTAGTGGACCGAAATGTTAGCAAAAGATTCATTCGTCGTTTGACATACGTTTTCGTGACTACTGCTTCATTCACGGTTTTGTCCGCCGCGATAAACGCGATAAAAAAGCGCGCCAAGCGGGGTGGGTCTGGTGCAGCTCCAACCCGAGCAAGCAGTAAGAGCGAGCAAGCGACGGTTGCTCACTTCGTATCCAGTCGTTTTTCACCAGTTGCTGTCGTTAACCTGCTCCAACTACCGGTAGACAACTAGCAGTCTGCTACCCTCCTATCCTCCTATACTCTAACTGCTGCTGCTACACTCCTTTCTCTCCATACTGTCCAGCTGCCTGCTACCTTCCTATCGCCCCATACTCTCCATTCCCGGACGCTACTGGACACTTTACAGTACCTACATACACTTTCCTTGTACTGTGCCTACACTTCCCTAACCCTGGAGACACTGCTGTTGGCTGATGGACTCTGACAGACGCTGGAGCGATGTCTAAAGTTTCCTAGTCGTAATAGTTGCTCTTACTGCCGGATCCTTGGAGCGCTGGTGGACGCTGCTGGTCGTTAGTGGACGCCGCCGCAAAATATGAAAGCAGGATTAGCCATGGCCTTTGGCTGTATTTGCACCCTCCCACTTCTGCTTATTCTCTAATGCTGAGCGCGTTTCTCGCTGCTGGACCTTGTCATCGATGCAAGCTGAACTGCGATCGTACAACCCCTTGTACGATTGTGGTATAGTGTAGTTCATTGCGGACGGTTGGGCGTGTTCGTGCGGCTGCGTTTGGCGCGGTGCCAAACTCGTTCTCCACGAGTTGTTCAAGCGAGCAAATGACAATACTGTATCATACCTTTCGTATTACTTGTTTTCTACTGCTTTTTGTCGCATGCCCGTTTCAACAAGAAGGCAGAGAACAGCTCAAAGAGGGTGACACACTCATACTGGCTGACACGCCCAACCGTCCGCAGCGAAGTAGAGTGCACCACGCGCAGTTTTATAGGAGGACGTAACGTGTCACTAGAGGTGCGGAACCATTTATTTCGCACATTGCAAGCACCTTTCTCGAAGTTGAGTGTACAGTTTGTCTTCCACGGCAGAAGCCACGACTGATCAGAGTGTAGAGCGCCTTTAAAAAACACGATGGCGGAATCCTCAGACTTAGGATGTTCCTGATGCGAACTGCCGTCTCTATCGTTGCTGTATAGTATAGTTCGCTTCTGACGGTGGGGTGTGTCAGGCTGCGTTTATACTTTGCGGCAGCGTAGCGTAGCGCTTCCAGCGTACGCCAGCGGCAGTCACCCCCCCTTCCCCGCTCCCAGCGTCACCAGCGTCACGCTAGGTACGCTAGCGGCACGCTAGCGTACGCCAGCGTTTCTCCAGCGTTTCACCAGCGTTTTGCTAGCGTTTGCAGCGGCAGGGGAGTAGAGACTATGGGAGAGCTGGAGGGTACAAAACACATCGATTGCGCGTCTCTCACTCGCCCTTAGTCTCTACAATGCACATCGCTTCTGCGTCTCCGACGGCCACATAGTCTCTACAATGCACATCGCTTCTGCGTCTTCGACGGGCACATAGTCTCTACAATGCACATCGCTTCTGCGTCTTCGACGGGCACATAGTCTCTACAATGCACATCGCTTCTTTCCGTCTCTCACGGCCACATAGTCTCTACTCCCTGCCGCTGCAAGCGCTAGCAAAACGCTGGTGCCGCTGGAGAAACGCTCGAGAAACGCTGGTGAAGCTAGATCGATAGCTATGCTTCCCGTGCCCTCGCTACGCCAGCGTGGTGACCGCTGGTGAAGCTAGATCGATATGCATCCTCTCTTCGGCACTGCCGCTGGCGTACGCTGGAAGCGCTACGCTACGCTGCGCTACGCTACGCTACGCTGCCGCAAAGTATAAACGCAGCCTCAGGCAGTGTGAGTGTACCACGGTGGAAAACCCGTTGTTGAAGCAGTTACGCGACACCAGTTGTTGGGAAACGATGATACGAACGACATGATACAGTCTTGTCACTTACTCGCTTTAACAGCTGGTGGAAACGGGTTTGGCACCGTGCCAAACTCATCCTGCCTGGCACACCTCACCGTCCGCAGTGAACTGCACTGTAAATACTCTTTTATCATTTCGTCTCACAACCGTTATCAGAAGTCTGCATCATTTGCGTGTTCTCTTGTCATACCATGGTCTGATTCTATCCTCTACACATAGTCTCTTTGTTCAGAGCCAACAGGAGCAAACTTTCTGTCAAGCATAATAGGAGCTCCTGCTACTGTAGAGCTTCGTTTATAATTGATAGGAATTTGCAGGCCTCCAAAGCGGGCGTCATCAGCAATCGACTGGAATCAGCGCAATGCCCACTAACTCCCACTAACTTGAACTTTGATTCTCCTGAACGCTTGTTGTGAGCATAGGCTATTCCTCGGACTATTTAGAAGTAAACGTGTTGGAACTCTAGAGTTCAATGACTAATGCTAACTTGATATGGATAATTTATCCTTCGAAGAGCGGATGGTTACAAGGTTACTTTCTTCGCCTTCATTGACTCTTTGGTTCTGGCAAAACTTTTTGGCTTTTTCGTAATTGTACTTCTCGTCGCTTGTGAATATACTTGTAGATCTCACATACTGGAAGTGACAAAATTGAAGCAATAGTTTCCGTTTCCAAACGAGTTGAATTTTTTGTAATTCTATGGCAATTTTGGCTGGCTCACCTTGACCCATCGTTTCTCTCCACCAAATGGAAGGTTGAACCATCGGTCTAACTGAGCTCTGTTAGGGAGTGCGAGAGCGTAAGGGAAGCTCCCTAGTAAAAGTATCCAGAAAAGAACGCGGAATGACATGGGCACTCTGTTGGGAAGCGAAAATGGTTTCCATACCATTTCTCGAGCTTATGTAGTCCTCCTTATCACAATCGCTTGATCATAGATGTTTTTCAACCAGCAGATACACGAGCGGTCGAAAAGTGTACGGGTTTTTGATTTTTGACCATATCTTGGCTAAATTTAATTTAATTTTTTTAATCAAGCGAAAGACTTTATTGAGGCGAGCATTCTATTTATATAATTTACATCAGCAACCCGTGTTTATCAACAGCTATTGACCTCCTGCTACTTGCTATCTCCCGCCTTGTACAGATCGATGAGCCTTTGAAGCACTTCTCGCTGATTCACTCCTGAAACTTATACTAGACACCTTTTTATAAACTGATTGAGAACTGTATCACCTACCTTGAAATACATACGGTGCACTGAATAAGATCCCACATGTGCCTCCTACCGTAATACCAAAGAACACGTAAAGCAATAATCGATCAATAATCATGGCGACGTACTTCCAGTCATCTCGATACTGAAAAAAGGCCTAATACGAATCTTCTATCGTTACGTTTTTCTTAGAATTGCAGGAAGCGCTATGGTGATCAGTTGTTTGTTTCGCCATTGGCTCAGCCGAAATTCATCAAGTATGGACACTGCTGAAGAGGGGGTTGACGAAATAAGGAGAGGCAAATGTACCGACGAAAAATTTGGAAAGGTTTTGGCCAAGCGCAGCTGGCGAGAGCACAGAGGACCAAAATCGTTAAGAGTCTCACAGAGTAGGCAAGGTCGCGCACATCCGCACTGGCCGCCAGACTAGCTCGACTCTGTGCGCGTTGAGAACCACAACAATACCCCTGTACTGTTGCATGATATGCAACTTCTGATACAATGGCCTTTTCTCTTGGATACTAGGTTGAAGAAAACGTGCAACAAATTGACTAAAATTTTGTACCGTATTTTCCTTCAATAAAAGACCCATTCTACAGGGCAATGCCACTAATAAGAATTGCCCATATTTCGCACAACTTCTCGATTACTACTGTGGAACCGCGACAGCTACGATGAAGAGGTCTTCAAAGCTGTAAACTTCTGCTTTGAAGAATTGGCGTCGTGGAAAACTGTCCGTCAAATGATGGCATCGTCCTCATTCAGCTTGTTTATTTTGACCTAGGCAGAATTCATGCTCAAGCCAAGGTGGTAGGAGAAACGAGTTCGAGATAGGGGTTTGAGGAACGTAATTCTTGTTCATATTGCAAAAAAAGAAAAAATAGGAGACAAGTGAATGGTGCTATCAAGAAGGGTATTACCTCGTGTATCACTGTTCACGTTACCGATCACACCTCCTTAGAGTATGGGCAAGCATTTTGAGTTAAAAAGTTTGAGTTTTGAGTATGGAAACTTCCCCACCACCAAATATGAAGGGTGTTACATGAAGAGCGAGGAGGGAGAGGGTTAAGTGACATCCTTATTTTCCTGGTCTTGTTGTGAAACCGAGTAACGAAAACCAAGAACACTCCCTTATTCCTGGCCGTCCACGAGTTAGGCCTGGCATTTGGACATGCGCAGCGGGAATTCAATTACTCGTTGCAATATTCCAGTGACAACTGCCATCTTTAGTTTCTGTGTTAGTCATGAAAACGATTGTGTTAGGATGAAAATATCTCACCAGAAGCATAGACACCTTCATATTGAATTGAAACATGCTGCCACGCCCTCAGCCAAAGCTGATCTCGGTGGATTCGAGTATAGACCTTCGGGTTAGAGAGGAAGGCTACTGACGGGTGATCCTGCACCTGTTTAGCGCGTAGACAATACATGGTCGAAAAATTGAGCGCAGATGGCTGCCTCCCTAGCGGGACATCGCGTTATGTTGAATTTCTGCTGTGTACGATCCCACCGCTTACGATAGCGGGTCTCGCTAAGATCCCTCGACCGAGGGAGAGACGCATGGCACCTATACACTGGCTGGTTGTTTGGCACAAATGTTACAGGCCACTTCCATCAAGATGCTGCCATTGGTGGCTTTATTGCTACAACAATACCTCTCGCTGAAGTAAATGCAGTAAGGGCTATTCAGTTCTACTGGGCAGCAACCAAAAACAATACTCACCTGTTTGTGTTCCTCGTCCTGCTTCAAATGATCAGTAATATATTCGATGGCATCAATCGCAGAAAGTGCATCAGGCGATAATGGGTGATAGGGCGCGGTCGCTGGGTCTCGAGGAATGTCGTTTGCGTTGGTGACAACTTTTATTGCGTCAGTCCTGTAAGATAATGCAGTATAAAAGAGGATACTCATTAGAAGAGTCGATAGCTGAACCTTCTATCAGCACTCGGACAAAATGGGTGATGCTTTGCCGCTCTGAAACTGAACTGTCCTATACCGGGAAGTTGAGCCACATCCTCCTTCGGACGGACTAAGAGCTTTCGAAACGCGGATTTTGGTCGTCGCATGCACATCATGAACGGCATAAACTGGAAAATTGAAGCAGTGCTTAGTGAGGTTGTGTACGGTAACAAGAAAAACGTGGAAAGTTCTACCTCCAAGAATAACTTCCGTACCCATTGGGGCATGCGATGTGTCGTAGGACTACGGAAGTACACATTGATGATAATCACCGTAACTAAGATGGTGATCACATTGAGAACGAACGTAAGCAGTAGGTACCTAGGGGCTTCATCCTAAACTCCTATATGCTTTTCCAGCTATTCATATATTTATTTATATCCTTCAATGGATCAAATCCTGGCTCGGCTCCCTCCTAGGCCAAGCAAGCCTCTCATCCTCCGCGGACGGTAAATTGCCCAGGATAAATCACCGACACATGTACATCGGCTGGCCCCCGCAAGTCATTGTATAGGCCACATCGCATTCAATAAGCCACTACGATTCTGAATGGAAGTAGAATGCGTGCCGCATCCCACAAAGGGATTGATCAACGGCGAAGACTTTATCCTTCATCCTTTATGGATACTATTGATAGATTGACTAATCTCTCAGCAGCTTCTTTCTTCTTTGAATGTTCCGTAATGACTGATCCTTCTCAGCAGTCTCTGCATCTTCCTCTTTGAATGATTCTTATATTCCCGGACTAGTCCGGCGTTCCGTAAGGCAAGGAATGAAAGCTTCAGTGATCTGGGTGGATGAATCTCGCACTTGTCCCTCGCCGATACACATTTACATCACCGCAATTGTCGGGTCGCAATCAGCGGCTCGCACCTGCGGCGTTTCCATCATTGGTTGCCCCCCCTCCCTAAATCAATCTTTCCCCGATCGCATTTTATTAGGAGCACGCGGCCGAACGCTCATTTGGACCGCGTCGCACAGTCGCCCTCCGGCAGTCCGCAATGGAGGACTATAACTGCAGCAAGACCATCTCAGTCGGAAAAATCTCAATCGAGGCCAAAGTTCGACGCCCTCTCCCATCTGACAAATACAGGACTCGCACGAACGGGTCATTTCTACCGTGAAGCTCAAGGAGGAAGAAAACAGACTTTTACATCTGCCGGTCCAAGCCAATCGTTATCGTTTATCGCGGTCCTAGGCGCTTCCGAATCCAAATATACTATTGTAGGCACAAAATGTGCTGTGAGCTTTTTCTGAGAGGAGATTGTTCAGGACCCGATCCTTTCTTGACTAGATATTATGATTAAAAAAACGGGATTACTTACTTGGCCATCAGAGGAATAGTACTAGAGGTGGGTGGAAGAATTTTCGATACGAGCAACAAGAAGACCACAATCGAAAGCAGCACGTAAGTTGTCAAAGTCATCTTCTCACCTAGATGAGGGATCGAAGAAAAGCAAATGTTCTCAAGCTCACGGTTGGGTACAAAAGTTAGGAACTACAGGTATCTCTCTTACTACAAATATGGAAATCATTTCTGTGAAGAAACACTTCATTACTCTCCGCCCTACGAAGCTTACCTGAGTCAGTTGGAAGAAAGAACACTGCCATACTCAGAAACGTCATCAGCACAGTAGGAATAATCAACACAGTAGTGTAGAACAGAGTTTTTCGCCTAAACAGTGAAAGGTGCTGCTCCAATACAGACTCCACCCTTAGCACTTTGAGGTCAATTTCAAGCCGTCTAGTCGACTAGCCAGGACATGCTCTGCTGTGGGTGCTGTGCACGATCGAAGAGTTAACGCTCCGTAGGCAATATTCGAGCGCAGAACATCAGCTTGCGTTCCTCTTCCAGCTAGATAACCAGCCATTAGATGGACTTTGTTCATGCAGCCGATTTACATCCCACGGCCAATGTTATCCACAATTTGCGACTGCGTGCGATTGCTAGAGACTACCACAATTTCAGGTTTGTTACTTTTATTACCCGATAGAAGTAAGCGTGACGTATACACAGTCCCCCCTGAATAGTATCGACGAGCTATCTATATATATACAAGCCAGAAGTTGTTTGTGTGTCTATGCGCCTAAACTGTGCGCCTAAAAGTTGAAGACTACGTAAAACGTAAAACTGCTAGGACGGATTCTAATTGGGATTGACATGGGATGAGCCAATTTGCAGGGAGCACAAAGCAAGGTGGACCGAAGGTATGCCCTCAATAAACGGGGCGTGTACCGAAGTGAACGGTGCCGAGGATAAGCATTCTCAAAACCGCATCGGAAGCAACCTGAGGCTGCGAAATAGCGATGATCAGCAAGGGGCTGCAGGGGAGTGACACGCGGGGGAGGGGGTTAGGGAGATGTGCATAGATGTGGGTTTCCCCCCAAAAGGTTTCAAAGTCCGCGTTCCCGTTTCGAGTGTCTGAGTGGTTCAAGCCAAAATTTGAAAAAAAAAAATCTGGAGGTAGTAACGCTTGTCTTATCTGCTCATTTAGTTTAGTTGCCCGTTGTTTTTGTACAGCTATTTAGATAGATGCATAGTACTTCTCCAGTTCATCCACTGAGCTCCAAGACCAACTTCGCACCCACTACCTATATACTCAAATAGAAACATTGTTGAATGACTGTCTGTTGAGACAACTCACGCGGCGCAGCGAGGATCGGCCCCAGTAGGCGTCCACAACTACACACGCTCTAATCCGCAGAAAACAGTTGTTCCGTGGGGCGCAAGTTGTCACTAGCTAAATCACCTGATTGTCGATTTGGTAATGTAGTTAGCTACAACCTTTGACACGTAAGGGACCAGGAACTCCTTCATCGTGCCGGACACACGTCTTTTTTACGTAAATTCTTCGACTTTTTAAATGTAGGACGCTGCGAAACGCAGATACTGAGCGTTAAGATTTTCGCGTGGGCCTAGGGGGAAGGAGCTACGGAACCGTCCATTCTGCAAAAGAGTAAGTGCCTTCTCGGCATTTCCTAATAGGCAACAGGCTAGACTGCGTATCCATACTGGATCAATGTGCAAAAAATACACCATGAATAGCAGCTTTGTTTGTAGGTGAAAGATAATGGATAGAAAATTCACTTAAAAAAGTAGAAAAAGCAGCATTCTCACAAAAACGACAGATATTGTTGGAGGTGGGCAGTTGCGGCCAACATCATTGGTGGAAGGATTGCGAGGAGGCATTTGGCCACACTCTCCCTCAGCCGATGTTCGTTCGTTCCTCCACCAACGTCGTTATTGACAAGCGCCCTACTCAGCAATCATGCCCTCTGCCTTCGAACTGATGGTTTACTTCATATCACATGGAACGAGAAAATTCCCCAAAGTCTTTAGAACTCAAGGAATAAAGGTTGTCGAGGTTGTCTATATATCTTACCACTTGCCACCTATCATTTTTCGTTTTGAGTCTGACTTATTGACAAAAATAATCTACTTAACAACAAAAGGAACAACTAAACGCTGGGAGTTCATCCGGCAATCTAGTCAATTAGTTTTAACTATGCCTATAAATCTGAATGATAATTAGGTGAAGTCTCAAAAGGGTTGATATGATTTCCAACTTTCTGAGAATGTCTCTCTGAGACTGTACCTAGTTATCAGTCGGATTGTTGAAACCAGCTAGCTTTCTTAAAATCATGTCTTCCAACCTGATTCTGACTTGAAATTCTATTCGACTCCGCTTGTTCACCAATGACGCAGGAGCGTCCATGACATCCCATATGGAAGAAGGCGCATATTCAGACAGATCCACCCACTCAGCTTGTTCGAACTCAAGTTTAATCTCGTTCTCGTTGTACTAGATCAGTGCTG